TTTTTTTACAGGTTAGAATTCGCCGCCGTCGAACGCGTGTCGTTCTGTAGAATTGCTCCAGAGCAGATAGACGGGAAATGGAGGACAGCTGCCTTGTAGAGAGCCGATCCCATCTGAATGGTGTGCTTTGAGCAAATAGAAACAGCAAAAGATGACAAGTAGTGCATACCCCTGACCCCCGATCGGGTCGCCTATCAGGAGGATAGGTGGCTGCTGACTGCTGTCGGGACCTGAACATGCTGATTTGCTGGAAAAGGAGCAATAATTGAAGTGGACGTCCGCACCAAGACGATATTGCGGCGTCCCAGGTCCCGCGTACTTCTAAGTAGTCCCATACACATCCATGTTCCTTGAAACCTTCCTCGCCTGGATTTGACTCATACACATAAAGATGGCAAAGTGGTTCGGACGGGAATTTTGTCGGTCTCCACGAGGACGGCATCAACCTGAATTGAGAGCCATTACCGTAGACATCAATAAAAGCTTTGATAATGGCGTACCTTCGATCCCTGTTCGGATCGCCTTACACAATACTGTTTCAATAAGTCGACCCGTCCTTTTAATTCTCGAAATGGCCCGTTTGCTGGAAGACGAAAGGCTTCACGATTCCGTGAACGCGACTCCAATTCCAGACCGCACAGAAAAAAAATAGACCCGCTTCAATGAGGACAGTATTGACCTGAATTGAAAGCCATGAAAACCAAGACATGAAAAAGTCGTTTAAAGGTCTCGCACCTTCGATCCCCGTTCGGATCGCTCTACAAGAGAACTGTTCTGACAGGTCGGTCCTCCTTCGAAGTCCTATCCATGTTGTTGGTAGAAAAAGGTTCACGACCAGTTTTCACGTCTTTATGTTCAAATCGCAAATCCTGAAGACAAGGGATGGGACCGTGTCAATGAGGACGGCATCAGCCTGAATNCATTCTCGTAGCCCTCGATCCACAGTTGATGGTGGGCGGTAGAAAAGCTCCACAATCAGGTTAGACAGCTGCATGTTCGAACTGCGGACTGCTGAAGGCAGGGAATGGACGCGCGTCAAGGAGGACGTTCTCACATGAACTAATTGAAAGACGTAATAAAGACATTTAGAAAGACGTTCAATATTGACGTACATCTGATCCTCTTCCGGATCGCTCTAAAACCTAACCCTCAACTATGTCGATCCCTCCGACGTCGCCTGCTGCAGCACATCCTGAACATGTAGCAAAATCAAGTATGTAGTATACAGTGTACCATAGATTTTCATTGTTTATGGAGACCGCCACGTATGTATTCGCACTCACTCAATTGTTTCGGGGCGGTTCCCGATATTCGTGTTCGCTATGCCTCGAAAAAGTCCTTGTCTCGCTTCGAAAAATTCGGCCCAGTTTGCAACCATATCTGCAAGGACGAGAAAGAAAGGCGAGCTAGAAGTTGGCTCGGGGTCATGCGATGCGGTGAACCACTGCTGAAGTTTTTCTTACTCCTCTCCTTCTCCCTAGCGTTTAATCCCGCGCCATCTTAGGGTTCGCTATTCTTCTCAGTCGTTTCCACTTGTCTATCTGCTGCATCTGCCGTTACTTTAGTTTCGGCCAGGTCTTTNTTCGATCCCCGTTCGGATCGCTTTACATGACAAGAGGGCAACATGTAACAAAATCCGCCATTCTTTTCTCTATATAGTGATTCCTCGGTTTCGTGCTTTGGTTTTTCTTCAGTAAAGAGTTTCATCTTATCCCATAGAGCTGCGATCCTTGCCTTTCACGGCGGACATACCTTCGCCGAAATTTTCCGTGTTCACAAAATGCATCGTCAAACTGTCCATAGGACTATGAAGCGAGGCATGTTTCATGATGTTCTTCGTGGAGGTCGTCCAGCCTTCACAGCCACTAATGACTCGTGAGAGTACACAGTCAGGATCCGAATCCACTGCAATCCAGAGAAGCACGAGGAAGTTGGCAAGGAATTTGTGAGATTCTAGTCGAACGATGACAAGAGCAGTGCGTTATAGACTTCGGCTGCACTCTCACAAGTTTCAAAAGACACGCTCTCTCGGACGCTCAGAAGTAGAGAAGAGTGGAAAACGCAGAAGGTTTCTGGAGAATTGAACGATGCGCATTTGAAGATCCTCTTCATCGATGAAAAACTTTTCACAGTCGAGCAGCTGTTCAATACCAAAACTTCGGAGTACTCTCCAGGATATCCGGAGAAGCTGTTAGAGCAGGAAAAAAGTCACTCAAAGTTTCATATCTTGCATCGGACATGGACAGCCAGAAGTATCCGCAAATATGCGTACTTCATTGCCTTTAGTGGAAATGTGCTGAAATCGATGCCAATTACCAAGTCGAGGAATTTTTGAAGACGGCAGCGGTCAACTTAAGTCCTGAGAACGAGCAAAACGGTGCACCAGTTTATCGATCAACCTTTTCTCTAAAGTAGTGCCGTGCAACCCAACCGACTTCATAGCAACAGAGACTGACCCCCTGATTTTCTTGACTTGAACGTACTGGACTAATCGATTCGTTCGATCTGGAGCAAAAGATTTGCCTTAAAAAACATAGTTTGGTTAAGGCAGCCGCTCCATGAAAAGCATGAGATTCCGCACGATGTCATCCGGGCAGCGGTCGAAGTGCGTCCGGTTCGTCCAAAGGTATTTGTCAAATCCAGATGAGGCCATATTGAGTGATATCATAAATTCCTGCTTGTTATGGTATGCATAAATGTTCTTGTTCTTTGCATCAAATTTCGATTGAAATCGTTGAAGATACACCAAAATTATTCTGTCATCGCGTCCTACCATGTATATACACTGCGTTTCATGAACATAGGGCCGAATTTTCGTGATTCCAAATTTGCTGAGCATGTCGAGAAAATGCTGCTATCACCAGTAGATTGCCCATGTCGAAAAACCTTGGTAACGTTTTTCTGAAAAATTTTCTATCCCAAATAAC